CGCTTATTACATTCCACACATCATCGTAAGTAACCTGCGAGGTCTGAAGCGAAATCTTTGGAGCAAAACGAAAACGAAACATGATCTTCAGAACCGAGGTTTTTGGTTGCCCTTTGAATTATTTGGTTAATGGCCTCCTTTACCCAACCGACGGGGTCTCCACCAACGGGTAACGGTTTAATTTTAAGCTCTAAAGTACGTCCTTGTAAATTAAATTTGCGAACCATGCATGTTGTGTCTTTAACGATCGAAAATTTAGACATTTTGCAGCAGTAGTAGGATTTCTGAAAGATACCAAAGCTGATAAACACTCCCTGTCGAAAGTAAATTTGAAAAACTTACAAGTTAATTGAATAGCGTCGAGCACGAAAAGAAGACTGACTGTGATCTAACACTTCGAAGGCTGAAGATAAAACTGAAGAAATGGCTTAGTAACTCGTTATTTAAACACTCTGGATAATCTCGTGTCGGTAAGATAAAAGGTGATTAGACGTCCATAAGGTACCTACACCTATTTGTAGCATCTGAACGATTCATTACGCCAAGCACCCTCTCGCCTACAGCTTCCACCATCATCTTAACCGCCTCCGCCAGTATCCCATCCATTCCCGGGGCTTTTCCATTTTTTAGTCTTCTTGTTGTAGCTTCCAACTACCCCTTGGTAAAATTGTCTGCTGCTTCTACTCGCCTTCTATTCCATCTCATCTCCGCGTGTGGAAATAATTTATCCACCCATTTTTTATTTTCCTGCTGGATTAGCATTACTTGTGGATACGATATCCCCAACTTCTTCATCACCAGGCCATACGCCTACCCAAACGGATTTCTATCTAATTCTCCTTCCAAGTTTTCCCAACACTTCTTTTTACTACGTTATACACTAACTTTTAGTTCTTTTTTTAACAGATCATATGTTCTTTTCGCTTGCTCCGTTTCAGGATGTCCCTCAGGGTTCCTTTGCCTACTTCTTGTCACCGTTCTCCTCGCTCCGATCACTCCTCTCCTTGAATCAGTTATTTCATTTGTCCACCAATACGGTACTTTCCCTTCCTTAGTTCTCACTTTAGTGGTTGTTTTGTGATACGCTCTTTTTAAAACTATAATTATCTCTTCTTGAGTCTAATCTATCCTTATTTCTGCCATACTTCTAAGTCTGCGGTAAGCTTAGTCTTGTCAAAAGGACCATATTTCCACATCTCCACCCTCTTTTCACCCATGTCTTTCACAGAAATGTAATATATCTATGTGGGCTTTACGTATAATCGTCTTCCAGCACCCTCCAATTTCTTACATGGTTGATGAGGCATTCCGAGATTGCCCTAATATCAATTACTGAGCCAGAGTCCCCCCTTACAAACGTGGTATCCCTCCTGCATTCATTGGAAATATGTCGTAAGGTGTACAACATTGTGCTGGAAATATACCCTCTTTCATCCTCAGTCCTAGACCACCACATTTTCGATTTAGCATTGAAATCTCCAGTCAATATTACTCTTTTCACAAAACCAGATCTAATATCCTCCACCAGTTTTCTAACATAATTGTCAAAAACATTAACTGATACATTTGGAGAAATGTAACAGCTATAGATCCTACAATCTTTGATTTGGATTAACACGTATCCATCTCCCCTTCCCACACTAATTATTTCGATTTACTTTCCTATAACACCGATCGCCGCGTCCTTCCTTTTATCCACATGCCATTTGGTGTTACTAAGCGATGCTATATGCGGTTCGCTAACCAATATATAGTCCTCCTTCGTCTCTGGTGCTGTCGCCCTTGCTAAATCCATAGCTGTTGCACATCTATTAGCGTTTATCTGAAAAAAGGTGATCATTGGATCTAAGTAGGTGAGGTCCTCCACCTTCGTTTGGCTTCAGCCAAAGCCTTACAGAATTTATCGCATCTTCCGCTTCATTCTATGATCTTCCTGGTTACATAACACGCATCTAGTCTCATTTCTACATTTCTTATACTCATGGTCTTCCTCCCCACAATTATAGTATTTTTTGGTCCTATCCGAGCCCTTGCAATCACTGGCGTTATGATCGTATTCCCAACATCTATAGCATCGTGGTACCGTCACTTTCCTCCGCCGTGCAACTCACTAATCCAACCCTGACCGGTCTTTTCGCTAGCAAGGTTTCCATTTTGTCTTTGGGTATTATTACGATAGTTGACTTTGTGTGTTCCTCTTCGGTCTCAAATCACTTACTTTAATGTCTGACTCATCTATTTCTCCGATCCTCTCTCTTATAGCCCTCGTCACTTCATCTTTGCTGGCTAATTCATCTAGTCCTCTGTTGTGTACTACTCCTTTTCTTTCCTTTTTATCAACCCTTCTAGCACTTAAATCGGCCTCTTCTATCATCTTACGCAGGTTCTCTACCTCTGCCTCGCTTTTTCGGTGATCATGAACACATGTCCCTCCTTAATGCTCCTGATTTTTTAAATTATTTTACCAGCCTGTATAGGCTCTACCACCCTCTAAAATTTATTTGTACTTTCCTTTTGCAACCGCGGTCACACAGGCCTATGTATTCCCTCTGGCATCTCATCCTTCTTCTTTCACTCGTTGCGTTCCCTATTATATATTTTTACATTACACTTCGTACCATGAAAAATAGCCTCCAATATCTTCCGATATATTTTGAACTCAAACCCCTTAGGTACGTTTATGGCCAGATTCTCATCTGTCTTTGTTTCCACCCTCAGAGTGCATAAAGCAGTCCACAAGTTTTCCTCCGTTCTGTCCCAATACAGTCTGATTTTTTTCTGACTTCTCTCTTTCTTCCTACCAGCGAATCTTATACTTATCGACTGTTCCCATACCTCCATGCCTTCCTCCGACACAAAGACTCAGGATATTGTTCAGTCAACCTTTTATCTCCAGTCTCCCTATCTTGGGGATTTCTCGGGATGCATAAAATGCATTTAACTTTTCCTTCCGCTTCGTATAATTCCCCTAGTTGCAAAGTGGTGTTCTAAAAAACATCGTCCATCCACTCCTTTTCTTCCAACTTCCATCACACGTCATTTCTACTCCTAATTCCGTCAGCACTTCTTCTGTATCTTCAGTCCGTTTAGCGGATTCCTGGGTCCTTTTTCTGTCTACACGTCTACATCATATTTCGGCATTTCTACCTCCGTCCATCCGTGCTTCTGTAGCCACTAATTTATTGATTGTCTCCTAAATATATCCATACTTTTTCCAAGTTTGGCTTTAATTTCCCTTTTGGTAGGGTTTCCTTCAATACTTCTCTCCAAGTCCCCGCATTGCTTTTCCAGTCCCTCCAACGTCTCTAGTATTACAAAGGCTATTGAGTTCTCCACTATCTTAATTACGTTCTTTTCTTCTCCCGCAGATGTGAAAGAAGTATTGACTACCTTACGTTTTTTCCCTTCCGTAAAGGAGAAAGAGCGCCTATGCTTCTGACTACTTATTCTTGTTGGTATCGCATTCTTGGGTTCCTCCTAAATGATATCAATTGTTAATATATTTTTATATCCTCAATCTTTCGCCTTCTTCATAGCGTATTCCATCAACCGCCCAGTAACACTATCGGTTTTCCCGGCTTGGACAAATCGATTGACATAACGTCTCAGTGCTTCCCCCATACCCGTCGGAGCAACCTGCCAAGGCAAGGTGAGATTCCCGGTTGGCACCTGGGACTGTTTTTCCTATCCTGTTGGTCCACGTGTGGTATTTTATTTCCCACCTACCCTCAGACACCACTGGGTTGTGGTGCCCGCGAGCTTTCTCCTATTTGCCACTCGGGGAACGCGCCTGGTGACAGTTACAGGTGTCTCCCCCACATATCACTGGAAACGGTGCCCGATCAGGAGCACTAGGTACTAACGGAGTAGAAAGTGCCCGGCTCGTTCACCAGATTTCACCCCATTGGATTTTTTCCTATGGGGTTATTTAATTTAAAAAACATTCTATATCAGGACCCTATAGACATGGACATGGCAGATTTAAATAATAAAATGTATGCAGCTACGGCGGCCTTAGATCGTGACATTTTATTAAGACCCTGTAATGTCGAACTAACGAGAAGATTAACATTGTATTAATGCTGAAGGTCTTAATTTTGAACATTTATTATAATCTTTGTTTTAACTTACTACATCTACATCCCCGTTATTATTTTAAATACTTATTTTTTCTGTACTTGATTTGTTTTTTATAATTTATCTTAGTGTGTGATGTAAATAAAGCTATTGTAACAATATTTTAAATGGATATTTTGTCTCATTGTGATTTAAATAAAATAATAGATTTTCCTGTTATTGAATATTGAAGTAGACATGCCTCGAAAATAAGTAAATACTGGGAAAAACTTATATATTACAAAAATTACTCAAAATTTAACGATCTTTCAGATGGACCACATGTCCACGTTCCAGTAATCAAACAATTCTTTACTTTCGCCACGCCATCTATACAGAGAGATTTGAACTAACAATTCTAACTGCAATTTGAAGCTATTGGAGAGACCGAACAACCCCTGTTTCCGGAATTAAAATAAATTTCTTTATTTTGAAGATACTGTCAGCGGGACTGTTAAATGGCATACCCTGTATATCTAGTCATTTCTAATGGAGTTGATTTTTTGTTTTCTCGTCTATATTATTTTTATAGTTTTTGTAAATTAGAAATTCATCGCCTGCCTCTTCCGCCATTTATCAGATGTAATTAAAAATATAACATAAACCTGATCAATCATTTTTCAAAATTTCTAACAACCATATTTTCACAAAGTGTAGCCACCACACATAAATGAAGTTAAAATTAATTTAATTTCACACGGGAATATGGCCCAACAGAAAAAAAGGAGGTAAGGAATCGAGTACTAACTACAGTCGAAATTCTGTGAACGAAACATTAGCCCGTACTAACGCTATCTTTCTCGCACATGTCTCAGCGATTGCCGTTTATATTAGCAAAATGACAGTTGGACACATCCAGTAGTTTATAAGGTCTATGGCCTCTACATTTCTTCGTTGTTTACTTTGGTGAATGGCTGATGAAAGTGTATTTGTGCATTACTTGCAGATATTAAGCTATGATAAAGTGTAATTAGAAATTATAGTTGGGCTAGTAAGTACTAAAATTTCATTAAACGGTAAAGTCCCTAATTTCACTCCTTTAATCAATAAGTAATTAGTGTAACGCTTTGAGTAAACATTCAGAATGGCTAATGTAAGGGACGTAATAAATCAAAATTCGGATATGGTAGACTATCTTTTACAAAACGATTTCAGTAATTTATCGTACGATGACAAATTTTTTGTCAAAAATTTAAGTAGACCATGTCCTCTTATGTCTGATTTAATGAACATTAAAGATTCTGTGCTTAGCAGTTCTTATAGAGCTTTTAATACTCAGTGGTATGAAAAATATTTATGGCTTACAGGTAGTACAGTTAGAAATAAATTATTTTGTTGGAGTTGTTTATTATTTGGAGAAAAAAATAAACAAAGTCCTTGGAATACAATTGGTTACGATAATTTAAAAGCATTATATAGATCGGCTCAAAGACATGCCGTATCCAAAGAACATCTGCATTCGACATTAAAATTAAAATTATTTGGTAAACCAAATGCTACTAATGCCGTACATGCAGGGCGTAAAGAAGACATTGAAAAACACAATAACTTAGTAAGAGAAAACCGAGAAATTTTAAGACGACTAGTTGATATGATAATTTATTTAGCTACACAGGAACTATCTTTTAGTGATTTCAATGAAATAAATCAAACGTTAAATTCAGGAAACTTAAAAGAACTTGCTATGTTTCTGAGTAAATATGACGGTAAATTTAATTGTTTTTTAGATGAATCCTCGATATTTGGCCATTTTTCAGAAACAATTCAAAATGATTTAATTACAAGTATTAATGCAATAATTACAGAAGTTGTTGAAGCAGAAATTAAACAGGCGGCATGTTACTCATGGCAAGTAGATGAAACAACGAATGCCTCTTATTTTCCTCAATTGTCCGTAATATTCAGGTATACATTTCAAGGAAATATTGTTGAACGTTTTATGGGATTTTTTAATGTTAGCGAGGGCCATCGACATGAAGATTTATTTAACCTTTTGACAACCAAATTTGAGAAATTTGATATTTCAAGTAAATTAATTGGACAAACATATGACGGTGCATCCATCTTGTCTGAACAATTAAATAATATGCAAGTGAAAGTCAAAGAAATTGCTCCACAGGCTTTATTTATACATTGTTACGCACATAGATTAAATTTAATATTACAAGATGCTGCAAGTCAAATTAAAGAATGTAAAATATTTTTTGCAAATTTAGTTGGTATTTCTTCTTTTTTCTCTAAATCTACTAAAAGAAGAGAAGTTTTGGATAATGTTTGTAAGCGATACCTTCCAAATTCTTCAGACACACGATGGAATTTCAAATCTAGGTTAATTACTACAATTTTAAATAATAGAGACAATTTAATAGAAGTTTTCGACACTATTGTAAATAGTGAAGATTTTCAGAGAGATCATGATACAATACGTGAATCTGTGGTATCGAAATCAATGTTAAATGATTTTAGTTCTTTATTTTTACTACATACGTTCAATTTAATTTTTCAACATACCGACATTATCTTTTCAGTAACTGAAAATAAATTATCTGATATTTCATATTGCATTAATATAATAGAATCACTTCTTTCAACAATAAAAAAATACAGAATAGAGGAAAGTTATTTCGCAAATATATTCAGTGACGTTGTTGATATATTAGGACCTCCATTAAAGAAAATAAAAACTGAAGGCCCAGAAGATAACGGAAATACCTACTTTAGATGTGTCTTTAATGAAATACTGGATTTAGTAATATATCAAATAGATACTAGATTTAAGAATTTTAAATTATTAAAATTTTTCAGTCTTTTGGACACCACGAAATTTAAATATTTTGAAAGAAATTTCCCCCAACCTGCATATGATTTACTTACTTCTATTTATCCTAATCTGTTTGATAAAACAAAGTTGCAAAATGAGCTGAGAATTTTATATTCAGATCCAAACCTTTTGGGTGAATCAGCAAATGAGACCTTCCAAAATATGTTAAATTTTATTTACAGTAATGCTTTGCAAGATGATCTTTCCGAAGTAACTAAGTTACTTTCTGTAATAGTATCATTACCAATTACATCTGTGCCTGTCGAAAGAAATTTTTGCATACTAAAAAGGATTAAAAATGTTTGTAGAAATTCGATTAACAGTATAAGTAATTTTGCAACAATTGCAATTGAAAAAGACCTTGTTAAATCACTTCAAAAGGACTCAAAATTTTACGAAAAAGTAATAGATAATTTTGCTTCACAGAAAATCAGGGAAATGGAACTGATGTATAAAGTCTTATAATGGGTTTACCTTGAATCGTATTGTCATTACTTTATTATGTTTTTTGTATTATTTTATTTCCATAGTGAATTTTACTCTATGGGCCGAATTTATTTCTTATATATAAAAAATTCATGTAACGTAAAATCAACAATTATAAATGCAAATTAAACAAAAATAACAGTTTAAACAATTTTATTATAATTAATTCACTTTGTAACTTCGAAGTATCAACGGCTTACAATGTTTCACTTCTGAGTATAAAAGCTTAAGCGTGAAATTTCATAAAACATTTGCACTTGGAACTTCTTTTTGCAGCATCCTTTCATCTTTTTACACGTTTTGTACTGGAAGTATTGTATTTGCTCGTATTTTTTTCTAATTGCTTATCTACAGAACACAGGAAACAGGACACCCTCTTTTCCTACTGATTCCTTTGTGCTCCTGACAAACAAAATGCAATGTCAGTTTTAAATTCCAAGAAAGTATATTTACGCTTGGGGCTCATAGAATGCCATGAATAATTTCTTTTATATAACAGTCAAACATTCACCACCGTTAAATCTAATAGATGAAATGTTATGCAATGGTACCATTTCCTTGATCGGATTTTTATTTGATACACCGCTATCAATGAATCGACAAGTTTACTTCACCCATGTATTGGTTGTAATGCATATCTTTACTATATTTGGACGTTCCATGTCAATTTTCCTTTTCATTTTTCTGTCCCACTTTGTCACTACGTCTATTGGCTCTGCTCCACAAAATGTGCCCATTAAATGAACAGCCTTTTTGTCGTATCACTTAATCGCATCTAGGTATAGTGCTCGTACATGTCGCTGTACTAGAGTAATACTAGGATATCTTGAAAAACTGAAATTAGAGAAAATCCAGGTTTAAGTTTCTTTGGTCCATTACTTAAATATATTCAAATATTGTATTGACAATAAATAATAAATAAGTAATAAATTAATGATTTGAAAATTTTGAACATTATGTTTATTATGGCTGTTACAAATTCGCTTCTCACTCTCAGAAACGGTAAGAGATACGAAGTAGCTTAAATGGGGGCAAAGTTGCATAATCAGGGGACCAACATTATGCCTCTAAAAAATGACATGAATAGTTTTCGAAATATTTGAAAAGAACCGAAATTTTGGAAATCCGATTTTGTTTAATTTCAGGCTTGTTTGAGATGATATTGAAAAAAGAACACTTTCTCTTGGCAACTTTTTGCCCTCTATCGAATGGCATAATCAATTTTTATATATAACGTTTCATCTCTCCTGGATCATCATCAACTTCATTTTTTTAAATACAACCCTGGAAATTTTATTACATTTTTTTGCAAGCCTTCATGACCCCCAATACTGTGCTGCCTCAGCCTGAACCAGATTCAGACGTTTTGTCCTGAAAAATTCATCTTCAATGTATTCATTCCAAATTTATCAATTTTTTTTTTAGATTTAGATAAATGCTGCTAGACCCTGTGAAATCTACCTAGTTATTTAAACTTTTACCATCACACATTACAATAAAACATTATTAGAGTTTTAATCCCATGCTTATAGTTATTTCTAGGTTTCTCGAGTACTCAAAATTCAAGCAAATTTTGATCTAATTTTTTTCAGGATATTCATACAAATACATCTGACATGCTCTTTCACAGTTGCGGTTACAGGTATAATAAATTACAATCATATTATGCTTATGTTCATTTTCAACATTTGCCAAAACGGAAACGTTTTTGAATATTTACTGTAATTTTTAAAGTATAATACTTATTTGGAGTTTTGGTTGTTCATATGCATTTTTAATAATTAATTTTCATGCAACTTATCGAATTATGTATGATCAGGTGATGGAGATTAAAACTCCAATAATGTTTTATTGTAACTTGTGATAGTAATAATTTAAATAACTAGGTGGATTTCACAGGGTCTAATGACACTTAGAGTGTACAATAATTCAATAAACATAGAAATCTGAATAAAAAATTTAGATTTTGGAACGAATATATTGATGATGAATTTTTCGAAAACGTCTGAATCTGGTTGGAGCTGAGGCAGTTGGGGGTCATGAATGCTTCCAAAAAATGTAATAAAATTTCCAGGGTCGTATTTAAAAAAATGAAGTTGATGGTTCTGGAGAAACGAAACGTTACATACATAAATTGATTATGCCATTTGACAGAAGGCAAAAAGTTGCCATGAGAAAGTTTTCTATTTTCAAAATACACAAGGCTGAAATTAAACAAAAACGGATTTCTAAAATTTCGTTTTTTTCAAATATTTTGAAAACTAATCATGTTAGCCTTGATTTTTTAGAGGCATAATTTTGGTCCCTTGATTATGCAACTTTGCTTCCATTTAAGCTACTTCGTATCTCTTACCATTTCCATGATCCCTGTAGTGAGAAGCAAATTTATAACAGCCTGTATATTGTTGAAAAAGTGACATTCGTAAGATATCCTTCTATATGTCCAAATTTTCGATGCACAATGAATGGAACTTGTCTTTTTTTTAGTTTAACCTGCTACTATGCCAATTTTGTTACGATTTTCTATTACATATTTTTTTTTTATTCTCAAATGCCCTACTGTTTGACTAGATTTATGTTTGATTATCTTGTATACTTTAACCTACTATTAAACCAATTTTGTTCTATTGTTTCTTTTACATAACTTTTTTTTGTTTACAAAGATTATATTTAATTATTTTGTATATCTGACATTTTTATGCGAATAAAAGATTGAAAGAAATTAAAAAAAAATAAATATTTAAACAACAACAAAAAAACAATAAAAAATAAGATTAGTATCCTAAACAAAATAAATAAAAGTACTAAATAACATTAGTAAATGCAAGAAGCAAACATTCAACAGGTAAACATGATGAATTATTAATCAGAATTTTCGTCATTGTCACTCTTTCTTGTGCATTTTAAGTTTTTATAGAAGGAATCGTACTCTCCTGGTATATGCTATAGCCTTGACACTCAGACGTATCAAGCTAATAGGAGAACTTGTTGCCCGGTTTGGGAAACCAACTCTCGCCCGATGGGAAACGAACTCAAAAAGGACATGTGCGCTTGGACCATTCGGTAACAGATGGCGCAATTTTAAGTGCCGATAGTGTTCAATTTGCATAGCCAAATTTGATATAGGATCTAAGCTCCACCCATTAAAGATGATTGGTTCTTGTATATTATATATTAATTATAGTTTAAGAAAGGAATTTACAATCCTTAATCCTAAAATAATCAATAATCAGTGGTCTATCTACTAAATGTTATGCGAGTGAGATATTCTTGTGAATAGTGTGGTAGTGTGTTATTTATTTGGAATATTTCTCTTATTATTATTTTATAAAGCCTTGAACGTTAGTGTATATACAGTAGTTATAGTATTAGATATTTATAATTATTATTAGTCATGGCTATAGGCAGGGAGGAAATAAGTGTGAATACCTGAATTGTAATAAAACTAGGAGAACCAGCGCATAAATAAAACTTTTTCGTTTTCCACTCGACGAAAATCGACTAAAACAATAGATTTTGAATTCTGGTAAGTAGTTAGGTACTTAAATATAAATTATAATATCTAATTATTTATATATAGTTGCGGCACGAATTGAATGGCCTTGCGTCACGGGTGACGTAACGCAGATGTTTTTATTAACCTTTTTTTGTAATTTAGTGTAATATTATAGGGTAGACATTTCGTATACCTAATATAGGTACCTTACTATACCTAGTTTTATTATTTTTAGTTGTCAACATAATTTTCGATAGTTTGTCGAGATAAAGACAATACAATTTTTACATATTTGTACTGTAATTTAATGTAAATACTTAGTTTTATTATTCTCAGTTGTAGTTTCTTAAATATTTTGAATGAATTATTCATTTGTTCTGTAAAATCTTGCCGCAACTATAATACATACTGTGATAAATTTTAAAATAGGTATCTACATAAGTATTTTCAAAATATTAAAGTTATGTAAGTAAGTATTTAAAATAACTCAAAAAATACAAAACGCAATAGTAATATTACTAAATAAATATCTATTTCCATTTAATCGCACTGAGAAATTGTTTTCATAGCCACAGCCAGATTTTTAGCTATCGCAGCCAAAACATTTGGCAAAATAAGCGCCAGCAAAGTTGTTTACTATTATAGGGAACTCACTTTATTATTCTAACCTTAGTTGTAGTCGCAGAATTACTTTATAAAAACCTCTTTACTATTATACTTCTGTAACTTTACTCTCACAGGAAAGTACTTTCTTGTGGCTGTAAAGAGCTTATATATAGCTGTATCAGCAGAACACCATACTACTGCAAAATAAAACTGTTTCATTTCTAGAACTTAATTTACTGTTGTAGGAACATACTTTAACACGAAAGTTCTTGCCAGCAGAAAGTAAAATATTTTACTAGTATAGCAACATCTTCTTTTAGTAGATGGAAGTAGCACTTTCCTGTTACTGTGAATTCTTTTTTGGAATTTTGGTTTTCAAAAAAATTCATTCGTAACAAAAAATACCTAATGCACGACAAAAATTACTTTTAGTAATGCAAATTTTATGTGTATAGGTACCATAAAATATGAAAAATTAAATAAAACAACATATTGCAATTTGGAATTTATCAGAGAATTTTCTTTGGTAACAAGTTATATTAAGATTTTTACACAATAAATTTAATTTTTCAGTTCAATACATTTAAAAAAATACACAGCGAGTCTCGTTACTAATGAAATTCAGATAAATTCTAATTAGTAATATTTTACTTAATTTTTCATATTCCACAGTCACTTATGGTCTCATACACAAAACCATTACCAAAAGTAATTTTCGTCATGCGTTGGGTATAAGTATCCAATAGTAAGTAAAAAATAGAAACAGCTACTGAGGAAAAGAGAAATTTGTAGCAGGAAATTAGGCAAGTTTAAAAGTATAAAATCCTATCTACAGAGTATCCAAAAACTCTACCTACATATAAAAATGACTAATTATAAAAGAAACATGGAAACCACAAATGATAGTTACAGAAAAATTTCTAGACAAACGTATTCGTTTACTTCCTGTTTTCTTAATTTTCCAAATTTTTTTTATTCGAAATATCAACCTGTCGGGTTTTAATAGAAACAACCTGTAGATACCTATATACATATATAAATAACAATTTATTACGTGTACAGGGTGATTCACTATATTTTGACCCAACCATTAACTTTTTTGTTTTAAGAGATAAAAAAATGTGAAACACAAAAGTTGCACGATTTTTTATAAAGTTTTCGAAACTATTAGCAGAAAAATAAATGAAGTCCAAACAAAATGGCCGCGGATGTTAACTTTGTTAATGTAAATTGAACACACTCTATATATTTTTGTATATTTGGATAGAACGTTCCTTGTCGAGTAGTCATATAGGGTTTGTTGGGCCCATCTCTAACAATAAGCGTGGTAATATTAAAAAACGAAAAGAAGTTTTTTTTTTATTAAGAAAATAAGACATCTTGTAATTGTTAGACCTGTTTCAGGCATTTCTGCCTTTATTCCAATTACGTAAGGATTTACAGATTTAGTTGTAATATATTTATATTTATTTATATCGATACGGTCCAAAATGCGTATAAGTATTTTAACTAAATCTCACTAATTGGATCGTGTGAGGCCTAATTACTCGTGGACAATGTTATATGGTAGGTCGTGACAATGAAAGGTAGTGATGTCATGATAACATTGTTATTGATTGATTGGTTGTCACAGAAGTAGAAAATTTAAATATTAGGAATTAAAATAGTGTATGGAGAATAACTTACTTTATTTTAATTACCATAATTTTTCAATTTTCTACTTCTGTGTAACCCATTTTAATTAAATAATAATACAAACTGTCAAACAATAGCAATGTTGTCATAACATCACCTGTCACTGTCATGGCCTACCATATAACATTGTCC